AGTTCTTTCAAGAAGTGTTTTATTGGAATATTAATAGACCATAAAATTCACCCAAGTATACGATTTTATGGGTTTTTTAAGCATATGTAAACATCTCCAAGGATCCTTTAAGAACAGTCTCATAACTTCCAAGAGAAATCTGTCCTCATTTCCCTTATTACTTTAGCCACTCAGCCCTGAACATCCACTGGTATTTATCCCCGTCTCTCTAGAATTGCCTTTTCTGGATGTTTCATATGAATGAAATCTTATTTGTGTTTATGGTCCATCCATGTTGAAGCATGTACTTTATTTCTTTTTATGCACAAGTAATATTGACCTCATGGTTATAACACTTTGTGCTGCATCCATTAACCCATTGCCGGTTTATTTGTTTCCAGTCCTTTTGACTATGGTGGATGATGCCGTTGTGACTCTCTCTGCATGAGGTTTTGTTCTGATGTGTCTTTCATTCCCCTTGGGTATAGTTAGATAGAGTTTTTGGGACCCATGGTTAAGTAGCCCTTATGACTACTGATGGTAGGTCTCCTTGTGTCTCTTGATGACTTATCTACCTTGTTTTGAAGCAATGCTTATTCAAGCCTCATCCTTTTTCTATTATTCAGATTTATTGCCTTTTCTCTGTCCTGTTATCGGAGGACTTTAAACACTGGATAATACACCTTAGTAAGATACATTATTCTCAAATATTTCCTCTAATTTTACAGAGAATTTTTACTTTCTATATAATGTCTTCCAATGTATAATTAAAAAATATTACAAGATACAAATGATCACATTTCCTTGTGTAGCCTATGATTTTGACATCTTATCTAAGATAATTTTCAAATTGAAGTCATAAGGATTTACCACTTATTTCTTCTTAGCACTCTGTACTTTTAGCTGTAACATTCAGGTCTTTGACTTGTGTTGTTTCGCATATGGTGTGAGGAGTAGGTCCAACATTTTCATCTACATGTTGATGTCAGTTGTTGTAACACTGTTTATTTAACAGACTATCCTTTCTTTTATAAAGCTTCATGATATCCTCATCCAAAGTCACTTAACAGCAACTCTACCAGTTTTTTTCTAGATATTCAATTCTGTTCCATTGGCTGGTTATCTTGCCAGTATTTATAGTATATATTGAAATCAGAGGTCGGGACCCTCCAATTTTATTTCTAGTTGCTTTTTATATGATCGATATAACATTTTTTGTTTCTTGAAATTCCATGTCAAATTTGATAGTAATGTTTTGAATCTGTATAACATTTAAGGTTTTTGTTATTGTTTCAATTATATCTTCCAATCCATGAATATGGGATATCTTTCTATTTATATAGATTTCATTCATATCTTTTGTAATGTTGTATAGCTTTCAGTATACCAACCTTTGAACTCTTTGAATAAGTTTCTCCTTAAGCATTTTTTTATTTTCAATGCTGTTAAAAGTAGTGTTTCTCTCTTTCTTTCCTTGTTAAAGATTTATTTATTTATTTATTTATTTATTTATTTATTTATTTAATGTATTTGGTGTTCTGCCTGTATACCAGAAAAGTACACTAGATCTCATTATAGATGGCTGTGAGCCACCACATGGTTGCTGGGAATTGAACTCAGGACCTCCAGAAGAGCAGACAGTACTCTTAACCACTGAGCTACCTCTCCAACCTTGTAGAGTTTCTTTCTTAAGTTTTTCTTGTTCACATAGAAAAATGTTTGATTTTTGCATGTTGCATTTGTAGCCTGAAATCTTACTGAACTCATAATACCTATGATCATTTAAGTGGGTTTCTTGGGATTTTCTTTACATAATGCCAGGGCACTTGTGAATGGAGATAATCTTCCTTCTTTTCCAGTATGAATGCCTTTTATTTCTTTCTAACTGACTAAAACTTACAGTGTAACTTCAAATAGAAGTCATGAGAACTGTCCGTTTTTTTCTGAGACAGGTTTTCTCTGTATTGTTTTGGAGGAGAACTATCCTTTTTGTTCCTGATTATAAGGGAAAAGCACACTCATCCATAATAAAGTATTATGAATAACCATTGACTTTTTCCTGTATATTCCTAATTAAGACTTTTTTCTTGTTTGACAATTTCATCCATTTATATATAACGAATTTCAGTTACTTTTACTCCCTTCTTTCTCTGTTCCACCAAAACTTTTTTGTCTCACTAAGTCTTGCTTCTACTTTTGCATGATCATTTGGTATGCAATCCACTGAGTTTAATTAATGATTTTTGCATGAGCATGGGCAGGAGGATGTTTCTTGGAGAAAGGAAACTTGCTATTGGCTGCACCACTGAAGAGAATAGCCTTTCCACCAACAGGTTTTAATTGCTAATAGTTCCTCAAGCAGGGGTGGGGCCTCCCTGCCTTCTTCCCTATCCATGATGAAATATTAGTTGGTTCAATTTTGTGCAGGTCCCGGGAGATGACCATAGCTGTTTTTAGTAAGTGCATTGGCCATGACTTGTCCAGAAGACCTCTTGTGATGTACATTTCTCCATCTTCTGGCTTACATTATTCTAGCCCTTCCTTGTATAGTGTTCCCTGAGCTTTGGAGAGGGTAATTTAGCTGTTACAGTTGGAACCAAATACTCTACTATTTAATCTCTATACTTTGGCAGGTTAGATCTTCTAGTGACTACTTACCTAGTTAAAAAGATTCTTTTGCATTTTACCTTGAAAACTGTTTCCTTTTGAAAGAAAATAATGTCCCTCAATTCTTTATATTTGGGCAGGGCATGTTCAGCAAATGGGGTCGTGAATGTTTACCATCTATTACCTGCTGTTAGATCGCCCAGTCATTAGTCTAGAATGGTAATTGGAGCACAAAGGTACTTGTCAGTTCTCTGGCCAATTCTCTCTTATTTAATATGGTAGACAGGACTGAGTGAGATATTTGACCATTGAGAAGACATTGGGAAATGTTTGTCTTTCAGCAATGTAATAAATCTCCAGGTTGTAGTTCACAGTACCTTCACTACATTATTCCTTAGTCTAGAAGAGCAGTTCTCAACATGTGGGTCTTGACCCCTTTGGGGTTGAAGGACCCTTTCACATGGCTTGCATATCAGATTCTCTGTATATCAGATACCATTTGATTCATAACAGTAGCAAAATTAGTTAGGAAGTAGCAACAAAAATAATTTCATAGTTGAAGGTCAATACAACATGAGGAACTGTATTAAAGGGGCACAGAATTAGCAAAGTTGAGAACCACTGCTCTAGACAGCTTGGGCACTGAGGTTGACTGAGAGATAAGAGGTTCCAGGATGAAGGACAATAATGGCCTTCCACCTTCCAGGACAAAAACTGAAACAGTAAAAAGAGCAATCAAGGGATGTTTGGGTATCTTCCCCCATGTCTCTAGGATCAGGCCAGGCACACTTACCAGCACTTCCTGGGCCCTGAGTTTCTTCTCAGTCCTTCAGGTAGGCAACAGGGAATCCATAGCTACTCTGATATCCCATTTTACAGATGATGGCACTGAGACCAAAAATGTTTCATAACTTTCGAAGGTCACAGAACTTGTGAAAGGTGAAGTCCGCATGACTCCAGCCCCCTTAGCCATCCCACCTGCATCTACTCCCTTGGATGTCCTCAGTTCTGCTTGTCCACCCCAGGGAACAGCTGAACTCTTGAGCATAAATTCTCAGCAGGATAGCCTGTGTGTAACTTCCCCAGCATTCTTTGCATCTGGAATTCCATGTGCTCTTTGGTTGAGTGTTTCAATGAAGAACACAAAATCCAGGCCCTCCAGCAGCATCTTCTTAACTTAGAAGCCCGTGTGGAATTCTCTGCATATACCATGTTAATGCTAATTTTAATGACTGTAAACATTGATGTCCAAGATGACACAAAGCTAGTGACAGAGCAAAATGAGGACTCATCCATGTCTGTTTTGTTCCCCATGATGCAGTGCCACGTATACTCTCAAGTAAGTTGCAAATAAGAATGCACCTGTCATTTCTAGCCTGCTCCAGGGTTGTCCAAATGCCCCAAAAGCCACACCCCAAAATTGGGTTTGTTTTTATTTACATGCTTTCACGTCTCCTCATGCAAGAAAATGGAACACACAGCCTTTAACTGATATTTTCTCAAATTCATTTTAAGGTCTTAGACATTCTATTAATTTTTAAAGCTCCCATTGCTGCCTTCTGGACATACCATGTGGGTGAGAAATAGACATGTAAAGGAAAGAGTTCTTTACATCAGCTATATTTGCCTCAGACAGCTTAAGTTATTTGTAAAAACCAAGATGCACACATCAGGACATGCAGCTTATAGATTTCCCCAGCTACTATACTGGTGATGATTCCTGGGTCCAACCATTATCAGCATCTATGATAAACTGTTGAGTGTGTGGCATACAAGATTTCAAACAGAAAGGAGTTGTGCCATTTGTGGTAGCCTCCTAACATATGGGTGACAGGAACTCAGTGGTTGCTCTCCTTTGGGTGGCAGCCCAGGCATGCTGGATTTTATTTTGCCCCTAGTGTCCCAGTTGATGTTTTTTAAGCTTACATAGGCAAGACAGTGTTTGCACATCTACCAACACCAGTTTTTCAGACATCAGTCTTTATGTAGAACACTCTGGTTCCCTTTCTTTCTTTCTTTCTTTCTTTCTTTCTTTCTTTCTTTCTTTCTTTCTTTTTTCTTCTGTCTTTCTCTCTTTCTCTTTCTTTCTTTCTTTCTTTCTTTCTTTCTTTCTTTCTTTCTTTCTTTCTTCCTTCCTTCCTTCCTTCCTTCCTTCCTTCCTTCCTTCCTTGCTTCCTCCCCCCTTCTTTCCTTCATTTGGTCTTTAAGTCAAGTCCCCATAGTGTAACCAAGCAGGAGAGAAGAGAACGGAATAATTGGAGGCTGCTGTCATTTCCCTTCCCATAGGAAATTATTTGAAGAGACAGGCCAGAACTTTACATGGGAGAGACCAAGAAAAGTTGTAATTTGGATGTCAGCTGTGGTGACTATAGGTTGTTTGCTTAAGAGTGCTTCTCCTCTACCTTCTTCCTCAGACATACTTCAATGACAATATCCTCACCCTGATACGGACCCTGGTGACAGGAGGAGCCACGCCAGAGCTTGAGGCTCTGATTGCTGAGGAGAATGCGCTTCGAGGGGGCTACAGCACTCCCCAGACGCTGGCCAACAGGGACCGTTGCCGAGTGGCTCAGTTAGCCCTGTTGGATGGACCCTTTGCAGACTTAGGGGTAAGTCTACAGCCTATACAATTCCTAAGCCCAGCACTTGCATCAAGCCTGATAAGAATGAACTGTGTCAAATGGTGACAGGCTAAGCATCTATGTTTCTCTCTTCCATTGTAATAGACTAAACAGATAGAATTTGTGGGGCCCTATTTACCAGGCCCTACACTTTATACATAGATATTCATGCAAATCCTCCTATTAGATCATTGATGTGTTGCTCTCAGGCAACTGAGGCATGAGGCATTTGCATCAAGGCATCTTGGCTTTGGAGCTATGAGTCTCTACTCCATTGCTGTCTTCCTCAAATGTTTTCTTCCCAGAGATGAAAGGGATAGTTGCCAAGACCACATAGCTAAGTTTAGGAAACATTTTCACAGGGCCCTTATAGCTCAGAGGTACTTTGTAATGAATCTGTCTGAACATAGGGATTCTGTGTCTCAAACCCTACTACCAGAGTTTTTGTATTTATACACTGTTGACACAAAAGTTACAGCTCTCATCTTAAAAAGGGAATAAGAGATAGTTTATTCTGGAGCCATTTGAGGGACCAGGGCTCAGAAACACGGATTTAGGTTATCCTGGATTCCCTGTTCCTTCCTGGAAGCAAATTAATGAAGCTGTATGTTTTACCAAGCAAGGAAGTCAGAATTTAAGGCAACTTTAAAAGATACTGGTGGGTCCAGCAGAGGCAGGTACAACAAGATGGGGAAAGATTACCGTAGGCCCAAGAGACCATCTGATGACATTCTTAGCTTTGAGTTGGTGGAAGCTAGTGGTCTGCTAAGTTAACAGATTCCAAAAGGTTGTTATTGGCCACAGGATGCTAGTTCTGGAGAGATTTGGGCAGGGGATGGTTGTTCTAGAGGGCTAGAAGTAGCCCAAGATAAGGTAATTAGCTTCTGGATATGCAACTTTCTAATCTAATCATCAGTCTCAAGAGACATAGCTTCTTTTCAGGAGTTTTTGTTCATAGTACCATCGAGGCACTGGTGAGTTTTGAAGCATCATAGCAGTTGTGTGTATGCAGAACAACTGATAAAAGTGACAGAATCTCAACTGGCACTTTCAAAGTCTTGTGATCTCTAATTCAAAACCCTGGTCTTGGGATTTCTTAGTCTGGACCCAGTCACACTTCTTTAATGAGGGGACCAGAGTTTCTCCTTGGATTCTCTGTACTTATTACTCTATACTCTGTGCTGTGTCATACACTTTGGACAAAATGTGTCATGTTGACCTTTACTCCAAACTCACCTGCATAGATATGTTTAAGAAATGGAACCATGAGCCTTGGGGTTGCATATATCTATTACACACACACACACACACACACACACACACACACACACACACACACTAATATTACCCACAATGTCCCATCATGGAAAAGGTCTTGTTTTGTAACACATCAAATGGCTACTTATGGGCCCAGACCCATTTTAGACTGGGGCTGTTTTGAAAGTCAACTTCCATTATCAGTGGCTCTAATCCTTATCACTTCCTTACTAATACACTCGAATCAGATTAATATTTTCAATAATGGAAAAATGTGGGACCATTTGTTGTCTACTATGATGCCCATCATGGGAATTCCAGTGATAGCAAAGACAAATACATTCCCTCAGTTCCTTATGAATCTACTCTGCCATGCTGTTCTGTAAAATAAAGTCTACTTGGAGTCACATATCTACATGAAGCCCAGAATTTTCTATGCATTTGCAAACCATCACATTGTTTTCACCTTCTGAGTTAAGCCCCAGAACTCGGGATGGTTGTGAACTGATTAGTACAGTGAATCCCAGTTATCTCACCTGCAGACTCCCACAAGCTCTTTCCTGTAGACATCTCTGAGGTCTGCAAATTGTGCTTTTCACACAGTCCTTATCTGAATGAGTCTTACCACATTAGGGCTTGTGGGTGCTCTTTTATTCTTGCAGTGGTTTTCATTATCACTTGGGCAGTTTTGACAACATGGTCCCATCACAGTGGACACAGGAAATATAATCCTTGCTTTGCAGAGATCATTTCTTCTCTCTAGCTATACAACTGGGACCTTCTAGTGTCATGTCCCCACCTCAGGTGAAGGCAGACAAAAGTGTATTTGAGCTATGGACACAACTCTGTGGACACCAGAGGAAGCTCCTGTGGTTGTCAGATCCCTAAAGTCAAACATACTGGGTCCAAGCTGTTAACCACACTGATGTCTTCAGCCACGGTCTCTTGGAATAGACCCTTAAACCCCAGAGACATAAAACAAGCTTCTATGAAAAGGTCCTCCCATCACACACACACACACACACACACACACACACACACACACCTTGATTCCCAGAAAAACAAAACCTGATGTTTCTCTTGGTTCCTTTGTTGTCTCCCAGGATGGTGGTTGTTATGGTGATCTGTTCTGCAAAGCTCTGAAAACATATAATATGCTTTGTTTTGGAATTTACCGGCTGAGAGATGCCCACCTCAGCACCCCCAGCCAGTGTACAAAAAGGTGAGTGTGTCTTCCTTCTTTGCCATCTCACCCAAATGAAATGGCATCAATGCTTTCTCTTGTTTCCTCTGTGTGTATGCTTTCAACACACTGCCTGCATTAAATCCAACACTGAGCTGAGGAGTTATAAGAAAGATTTCTTTTTTAAAAACTACTAATAATGAATGTGAAGCCATTGAGGGAAGAATCTGTGTTTTGTAAAGTAGCACCTTTACCCATTACAAAAGTCAGAATCCCAGGCTGTGGTTCCTTGCATTACTTCCTTGGTCCCTAATGTGGAGATGCTTCACATTGATATTTTTTGTTCCATACAGTTTGTAATTGACTCACTTTATTTTGTATATTTAATTTTAAGAAACTTTTATATTATCACCTTAAACAAAAAATATATGATGGTTTGGGTATGCTAGTTGTTCTTCTTTATTTTATATGCCTTAATATAAACTCATAGCAGGCAAAATATTAATCGAAGAATTATCAAAATCCATTTGTGTAGTGTACTCCAGGAAATAGTACCATAGAGGTATTTCTCAGATGTGTAGATTATAATCATCTGGGTTTTTTGTTTGTTTTTTTAAATACTGGGGGCTGGAAAGATGGCTCAGCAATTAAAAGCCCTGTCTGTTCTCCCAGAGGACCCAGATTCAATTCCTGGCACACACATAGCAGCTCACAACTGTCTGTAGCTTTAGTTCCAGGGGATCCAACACCTCCCACATACATACATGCAAGAAAAACACCAATGCACATAAAAGAAAAATAAATTATTTTTAAAATATTGTGATTAGAGTAATTTCTGTAGTGTGTAAGGAAAAAATGTACATGTACTTTTAAAAATTACTTAACAATGTTTATATATTTAATGCCTGAGAATTATATTACATAGCCGGAGTTAAAACGTGTTGCAGGCTAATGCCAGGTGTTAGTCTGCATGCCTTTAATCCCAGCACTGGGAAGTCAGGGGCAGACAAATCTTCCTTCCTTCCTTCCTTCCTTCCTTCCTTCCTTCCTTCCTTCCTTCCCTCCCTCCCTCTCACCCTCCCTCCCTCCCTTTCACCCTCCTTTCCTTCTTTCTTTCCTGAGTCCAGGGCCTCTTGTATGCAAAGCAAATGCACTGCCACTAAGCTCTACCCTCACCCAGGTCAATGATCTGCATTATTCTGAGGCTTCTGGGAGGCTGAGATCATACTTTGCCATCCTTGATGGTGATCAAGGCTACAATGGTGATCATTGTAGCCATCCAGAGAAAGCTTGATCTAACAGGCAGGAGGCAGGACAAACTCTTGTGACCAGGGGACTGTGACTGTCAGGACATTCTAGCATGGAAGTTACAGCACAGTTGGGTGACTATTTGTCATGAATTTGATCCTTGTATGGAAAAACACATATGGTTCATAGGAATCATGATGTGGCGTTTTCATTACCAGCTCTGACTTGGCTCTTCTGCCCGGCCTTCTGACTGCCTTGTTGAGTTAAACATGACGATTTTCTTTAAGTTGGAAGAGAATTTGAGGTTACTGGACTGAGTACATCATCCAGTTCCTCGGACAGATTGGAGTAGACAGGCAATGAGTTAAGTCGTGTGTCTGCTTCACTCAGCAGCCCGTGATAACCTTTGCATTCTCTGTCTAGGTACGTCATCACCAATCCCCCCTACGAGTTTGAGCTCGTCCCGACAGACCTGATCTTCTGCCTGATGCAGTTTGACCACAACGCTGGCCAGTCCCGGGCCAGCCTGTCTCATTCCTCCCACTCCTCACAGTCCTCCAGTAAGAAGAGCTCCTCTGTCCACTCCATCCCGTCCACAGCAAATCGGCCGAACCGGCCCAAGTCCAGGGAGTCTCGCGACAAACAGAAGTACGTTCAGGAAGAGCGGCTTTGATATGTGTATCCACCGGCACCATGTGTGAAACTGTTTCTGCTACTCATTTCCCCAGTTGGTATTCCAACAGAGTAACTTCCCTGTTCCCCGTAGCCCCCTATTTTTCTTTCCTTTCTTTCCTTTCTTTTTTTTTTTACACATTTGCATATGTATGATAGTGTGCATGTGGTTGTCATTTTTATTTCACCACCATAAAACCCTTGAACACAACAGCAAATAAGCGGACGGACCAAAAGTTATTTATGATTCTAAGGGGGAAATAACCCAAAGGCATCCTCCAGACATAAATAGCTCACTATGGGAATGAGGTCACAGATTAGGAGTGAGGGCCTGTGATCTGTGTCAGTTAAGCAAAGCAGGTTTATTCCGATTTATCAGGATCATCAGAATGCTTTGGGTTTTGATTTTTTTGTTTGTTTGTTTTTGTTATTCCTTTTCTCTCTTTCTTTTTATACACACACAGTAAGTTAGCATACAATCCATTTAAAACAAGCAACCAAAAGCAATGAACCTGCATTGATCCTTTCCACTCTGGGCTAAAGTATGGCAAAACATTTGAAAAGCTTTCAAAGTGTGTGTGGAAGATGATTAAGTATCTGTCTCGAGAGAGCATCAGATTTTTTTACTTATTCACCAAAGCCTTTGTGTCTCCGAGCTAGCTTCTTTCAGGAGTTCAAGCGGATGTTTCTAACTTTAATGCTGAGAAACAGGTTTCCACTCCTGGATGTATCAAATCCTAGTCATTTCATTTACCTGAAAAGAAGTTTGGTTGCATATTAAATTGTTCTTCTGTCTCCTCATGCTGCCAGAGGGATATCGAGTTTTTTTTCTTTCACTTTTGACATTTGGGATGAAAAGCCATATGTATCATAAATATCAGATGTAAGTCATTAAGAACTGCCTTCCTGGGACTTTTACCTCTTTTAAAAGGTGAATCACTTACCTTATGTACAGAATAAATAACGCTCAGAAAAGAGCAAGTATTTTTCCATGCATTCTCAGGGGACCTTTTTACCCCCCTTTGTTTGACTAACGAGGGCCCCAATGCCAGGTAGAATTCAGGCTGGGGCACTGATGGAGCGAGAGGGAGAAAGACCCAGTGGCAGATAATGTTTTTTGTAGGCATTAGATAAATCAGGATGTAGGATGATGGAACCACAGTTGGTTGACTCAATAAAGACAAAAGCTAGCCACCACATTTAAATGGCTGGCACAACTGTATGATGCTCTGTCCCACAGCAGAAGACTGGCAGGAGAGGTTGAGCATAGACAAGCTCTTTAACATACAGCCAATTCTCATGATAAGCGAGTGATGGGAAGAGAGCTTCTCCCTGTCATTTCAAGATGGGAAGGAAAGGACCACCACAGTGAGCCAAGCACATTTCAGTAGAGTTTTTTTCTTTTGTTCTCTTTCTTTCTTCTTTTAAACTATTAGTCAAAAAGGGAGGGAAGGTAGACTGATCCATTTTTCCCAATATACAATTATCAGATGTTTTATGCATGCAAATTATATTTTAGGAATGTAGGAGTTCTGAGGAATTGGCCAACTTTACCATAACCAAATTCTGGTATGGGTAGACTAGCCTTGGGCACATATGAACCTATTTGAAATCCATGGATAGATTAGGGGGTAGAAAGGAGGGGGAAAATCCGGCACAACTGTAGCATCTCTTTTAAAAAGGTGTTTTTATGGTGAATGTTTGGGGTTTAGATTTTGGATCCCATGTCCCCTCAAGCATGATGGTTTTGGAGATTTGTTTGCTGTGTAATTGACAAGCACTTTTACTGACAAAAATGGTGAGACTTGGTCAGAACCTCCACCTCCTTCCACACCAAAGACAGGGCCAGGGTAGTACTCCAACCAGCAATGGGTGGGGAGTCAATGTATACGTGTAAATTCAAAAGTCCTGTGAGTACAAGTATTTTTTTTTCAAATTATTTTTGTCTTTACGTATTTTGATTTGTATATGACATATATCAATCTCTTTATATATAACTATATATATAAGACTATATATATAACTATATATACATATCCCCTAGTTTTGGATCTTCATGCATTCTTTGCAAAGGAGGTTATGAAGTTATGCCCTCAGAACATTTATAACTATAAGAATGTGCCAGTTAAAGTGCTCAACAGGAAATATGACAGTATAAAAGCATTGTAAAACTCACATAGCTTACTTCTCTCTCTAAAGTGCAACAAGGATGACTAGAATGGGCCAAGGTATGACAATTAATGGTTCCTGCATGACCTAGCCACTGCTGGGGGTTTTCTTCTATAACGTTGTCCTTGTGAAACTTTTGTGGAATTAAAAAAAAAGGAGTTACAAATTTTATTCTGTTATTGGTTTGTTTATTTTTATTTCTATTGTTCTGTTTGTGGTTCTATTTATTTTGTTTTGCTTCTCCACCCTCCCCTTCCCCTCTCCCTCTTTTCTCCCTTCCTTCTTCTTTTTCTTCCTCCACTTTCTCAATTGCTCAGCGCAATGAGGCTGTGCTGCTGCTATGGCTAGATCCTTTAGAGTTTGTTTTGATGTTCTTGGGTTTGGGGCTTGGGTAATCTGGGGGTAACTTCTCTCCATCTGGCTTGCCTTCAAACCTGCACGTGGCCTCCCTGCCCACCTTGGTACCTTGTCCCAAGTCTAAAAGCATTTTCCCATTGAGAAACCCAGCTTTCTCCACTTCCCCCATCACCACCACCACCCAAACCCAGCCCCCATTGGTCTGTTCACATCTCTGTGTTGATCTTGGCAAGACCCACCAAATTAAGCGATGATGGATGATGCCAGTTGATAACTGTTTTCTGTAAAACATTCACAGCTATTCCATTTGGCGAATGTGCTTCTCTGTTAATGGTTGACCCTCCTTTCATTTGTAGTAGGAGGGTTGTTAATGGCAAATGCATTGGTCTGCTTTCCTGTTTGATCAGTATGAACCCAAGTCAAAGCTGTTGAGCTGTGTGAATGACTTGAGAGCATATGTCCAGTGATGAAGGGGCTGATGACTCAGTCTGAACAGTACTCCTGCCCCCTGCCTTCCAGATGTTAGTTAAATCCCAACCACGAATGGGGCAGACAGAAGTAAATCTAAAGTGTCTTTTAACATACTTACTTAGTGGCTCCAGAAGATGAGTCTGCAATTGACTGGAATGGGAACAGACTGTGACATGAGATGAAATTTGGGGGTTTTCCCTGGACTTTGGGCACACACTCCCCACTGGGTAATTGCAGATCATTGAGAACTGGTCAGAGATAACTACTGATATATCTGATGGTGGCAAAGGGATCATGTTGAGTTCTCTCATAAGAGCTGAAACTTATATGTTATACTTTTCTTAATGCAGTGAAGAGTCTGTTCCATCATTTTCCATTTGACTCTGCTCCTCCTCCTTGAGAACAGAAGTTCCCTTAGGAAGGAGGCAGATGACGTCTTCATAATTTGTCTCTTCCCTGCTTCCCCCTCACCCAGACTAGAAACAAACAAGAAATGATAGACAGTGAGAGAACACTGTGAAAATGCATTCACTTAATAAGAATCACAGCTTGGAACTCGGTGCTCTTCCCTATTCTGGAAGAGAAACAGTTTTTCAGCCATTTAGTTCAATTTGCTCAGGCTTTGGAAAGTCCAGAAGAAGTTAAGTGAGTTGGTAAACTAGGAGAGAGTTTTGTTCAGCACCAGCTGTCTGATAATTGTGGACCTGTCAACATCCCTAAGAGCTGCTGCTGAGCTCCTTCTCCAATCCAGCTCAAATGGACCCTGGCACTTTCCAGTTCTCACTGTATTTCATAGCTGTTTCAAATTCCATTCTGAAATTAGAATTAGGGTATTAAAGTAGGTATGCATAATATGTATTTGAAAAGACTCTCATCTTAATCATTTTCACACTTTTAAACTGTTTTTATAATTTATCCATATCCCCTTGGTTTATTTTTGGAGAAGTGGAAATTAATGCCTGAGATGTTGACATAGTTGATTTGCTGATGCCAGGCTCTTAGAGCCAGATTCTGCTTCCAAGTCAGGGGACAAGCCTTGTGAGCATAGTGACTAGAGAGACTGATTGTGCCTGTTGGCAGCATTATGGAGATCCTAGGTGACCAGAGGAACCTTTGACTGACTCTCTTTCGGCATGGGGAATGCCTTAAAGGTGTCTGTGTCCCAATAGAGATAATTATATCAACCTTCCAGGTTCCTATAGCAACAGGCTCCTTGAAGAACAAGAAAGTACAGAAACTTCAGGGAGTGGAAGATAAGACAGGGTACAAATCAATTTCTTCACCAGCTTCCATCAGCCAATGCTTTCTTTGTCATAATATGATAAGGAAGTAGCTGTGGGCACCTGTCACTAAGCTTGTTAAGTATCTCCTATAAGGAAGCTACACATGGAAGAGAGCTAGAGAAACTCCTGCCACCTAAGAGGAAAGAGTATCCTTGGGGCTTGGATGGATGCAGGGATGCAGTAGCAGACAGTCATAGTTGTCCATGACAGGGAAGTGAGATCAAAGGAAACCTGTCTGGGCCTAGTAGAAACTATGCTTTTGTCAATGGAATGGCTATGTATGGGAGGCATCAGGTTTTGTGAGCAGAGGAAGAACACCATACTGCCTTTCAGAAATGTAATCCAGGAAACCACATGGAGTTGCCCTTGTAGGCTGAAGCTCCTTGTAGCACTGGTGTCTCATTGTCCTTGCTACCCAAATGGAATCTTTTCCATCCACGCCTTTGTTCTCAAAGCCTCAGCAGGTGGTGTTACAGAGAGCCTGTTGTTCCAGGTGCCTTTACTGTGTTATCAGTTCCACTTTCTGCAGTCTTCTTGGGAGAGTAGTTACGTGAAAAGGCTAAAGCCCACAGCCCTGACAACCCATGGAGCTAGCAAAAGCCCTGCGTTCATAGTGCAACTGTTTCTCCCCCTGCTTATGGAGCTTTTGGTAGCTCAGCTCTTCCTAACCATAGTAACTCACCTCCAGGAGCAAGTCTAATCCCTTGTTCTAAACCCTAACCCTATCATTTCCTTATACTAGTGGTGGAAGACACATGTGGTTCTCCAAAGGCAGAGCATTCATCAAGAGAAAACGGATGTTATAAACAATGACCCACTGCACATCAGCCCTGAATTCCCCAGCATAACACCATATTACCCCTTCTTCTCATTCAGCTTCCAGATGAAAACTACCCGTAAGATCCTACCATATCACCTCTATTGCCACAATCTACATTCTTCAGGCAAGCCCCCAATTTATAAAGCCTAGGTCTCTGCCTCTGGCTCCTCCATTGAAGAACTTCATTTGTAAACAAAACATGTTGAAGGTACCCTCCCATCCCCCCACTCCCAACCCTGGACATCCTACTCATATCAATGCTAACCTTAAAGCAAATGCTTAGGCAATCATTATGGCTACTGTGCTCAGCAAGTTACAGTTGTAAACTCATCCAACTCTCTTAAAATGTAGGGGTCATTAGAATTTCCATATGACCAATATGGAATATGAAGAATACCAAAGTCAGTGTAGTTTAGTCACTACAAAATGGTGTCCTTTCATTAATCACATTAACAAACTTAGCAAAGATTATTTGCTTACCATGTAACTGAATGTGTACTAAGCCCATTGGTACCTGTTTCATTGACGTAGCCAACAAGATTAGGAAGGCTACTTCTTCACCCCTATTCTATAGAAGAGCAGATAAGAGACAGCAAGATACTTTATATAACCTTTTCAGAGCAGATAGGATATGAGAGATCCAGGTACACTTGACTCTAGACCATAAGCTTCTGTCATTTCACTGGCCATTTCCACCTGGTGTATCCATAGTGTACATAATGCCTTAGTTTGTCTATAACATGACACTGTCAATAACATAGCAGTAGGGCAGTGGTTCTGCACTTGGGAGACAGAGGCAGGTAGGTCTCTATGAGTTCAAGGCCAGGCTGGTCTACAAAGCAAGTTCCACAACAGTCAGGGCTTCACAGAGAAACCCTGTCTTGAAAAAAAAGTCTATAATGTAGCAGTTATTTTCCCTCCAGTTATTTTCTCAATTTTGTTTTGTTATACCCATCTGCTTACCAAAGATAGTAACATGTCATTCCCTCCCTTGTGGAAGGGAACTCTAACTGCCTTGTGACCAAAGTTCCTGAGAGGTCACACAGAGTTCTCAGAATAGGGTATCATATATATACCACCCACAAGAAGTTTATGAACAAAACACGTCTTTTAATTTTGTTTTACTTTATTTATTTATTTATTTATTTATTTATTTATTTATTTATTTTGTGGGGGAGCCTGGCACCAAAATGGCCTTCACAGACCACAGAACTTCTCACCCTAGGTGTGAAACAAGGCCACATAGAACACAGAGATAAGCCAAGCATGAGAATGGAGTTCCCTTACTCACTTCCGTCCTCATCAGAACCCCTGCTTTGAGTCCTCTTCCTAATGCCTGGTTTTATAGTGATCTATTGGCACAGCTTCATCTCTGAAGGACAAGATTCTGTATGCCAAATTGTCACTGTCTTATTACACAAAACACATTCCATGGAAGCCCAGCGGATGGTGACCATTGAAATGTACTTCCCTCTGAAGCTGTTTGTCAGACCTTTGTCCCCAAACATTTTAGATAACCTCCAGAGCACCTCACTAGTTCAATTTCCTTAACTCCTTACTTGACCAAGCCTCCCACAGCATAGGATTTAGAGTTTAGGAGACACTGAATTAAACAGTGGCTTCTCAGGGATAGTGAGACTCTCACCAGCCAATTAGGAGGTGTTTGCCTACAACTCTTTCCTTGCTTGAAGCTGCATTTCCTAAACCACTGGGGCTGTTCCACCCAGGTTACCTTTTGTGGCAAGAAATTTAAAGAGAAAGAAGAAATTTAAATGAGGCCAATGATGCTGTTTCTCTTTCAGACAGCTGGAGGAAATTGATATTCTCTCGGTGGCAAAAGGTCAAAAATACCCCCCCCCCATTTGAATTGAACTGTAAATACTAATTTCTCAACAATTATTCTCTGCAGCAGTTGTAAAAAAAATTCAGCAAATTGCAGCTGTCTGATCTTTCAGCAAAACACACCCACTTTCCATCAGCAAAGACACTCTTCTACCTGGCATGCACAACCTAACACTGAATCCCTTCGGCAAAATCGTTCCCCGTAACTGTGCGGCCAGAGCCAAGGGCAGCTTGGGCAAACAGAGTAACACCAGGCTCCTCTCTGAGTTTCATCTCTGCACATAAGCTGTTTGAGAAAGTCAGAGTTGGAAATTGTTTCGGAGACCTGGCAATGCTTTTAAAACATGATAACCATCACACTTTACTCTTCTCTGAAAGGTTAGTTTAATCGTAGATCACAAAAAAATTGGTTTCCACAAATGCATAATGGTTCATCTATGTCACACTTGAACTAAATGGTTTTTTAAATGGAGCTGAAATTATTTTGATGTGTACACAGTCCCAGATTTCTATACAACCTTTTTTAACCAGCCCATCAGGAGTCTTGCCTCTAAAGCCTCATTAATAATTCAGATGTGCTGATGACTTTAAAAGATCTATGGAATTGAAGCTTAGGGGAAAAAAAAACCCTCCTCTTGACAAAAAGATAAATGAATGTAGAAAGAAGCTGTAGGAGGCTGGCAAGCTGTAGATCATCTCAGAACAGATTGTAACTTTATCATTCTGTCAGGGGGAATAATTTAAAGCACTTAATCAGTTAGCTTCGCTGTGAGGATGTAGCATTATGAATTCCTATCGTCCAATCTGTTCAAATCAAAGTGAACGTAATTATAATAGGTAGGAGAGCCAGAGCAGGAGGGATCATGGGGAGAACCACGCAAGAGGTAGCAAGTATCCTGAGGGCTAAACTGAGCTGCTGAACGTCCTTTAGGCTTTTCCCAATCATATCCTAGCCCCAGAGGCAGCCACATGGAGGAGCGAGGGCATTGGAAATGGTGTTAATACAGACCAAGAAGGAAGAAGTAGAGCGATCGTGAGCTAATCACAGATGCTTAATTTATAAGCTAACACACGTGCATGCACACACATGCGCATGTTTTCACGCACACACACATATACCAAGCCAGCTGGGCAATCATTTAAACAGGTAGGTCCACAACCAGACACAAGGCAGATGTAAATTGTTCCATAAACAATAAAAATGGAAGCCAGAGGAACCAGTGTCTCTAGAGCTGTGAATGTGTTGGAAAGCTGTTTTCCTTCCCCTCTCTCTTGCCTCTGCCTACAATCCCCGAAGCTAGATATTCTACTGCTCAGTCCCTTCCTATCTGTGCACACGGCCAAGTTTTCAGAAAATTTCAATCCTAGAAAGGAATATAGATTTGAGTAGAACCAGGTGAAACAGCACAACTCAGCTCAGAGACTGCTCCTCTGCAGAGACCACCCCCGACACACACACACACACACACACACACACACACACACAAAGGTCCTGACTCAGCAGTCTCTTTCTCTCAGCCATTTCTGTATTTCGGGTGGAAAGGAAAGTGGCAAGCCCCCACGAGCTCACTGCTGACAGCTTGGGTTATTATAGTCAACTGAGACACTGCCACCTGAAACTCTTTCCATGACTTCATACCTACAGACTTTTCTTCTTTAAATAAAAGCCATTTCAAAATTCTCTTTTAGAATAGTTTCCTATTCTGATTTTTACTCTCATTGGCCAAGAGATTCTATGGGATCCCCTTAAGACCCCTTGGACCTTCAGAAGGATGCAGACAGGAAAGAAGTGATCCAGTTGACATCTGCCTTTGAGTCTGCTTGTTGTAACAAAGCCAAGAAAAGGCTGGGGAGAGTTGAAACTGGGGAAGACTCTGGACTGCTTATTACGCACTAGGGATGATGTCCATCTACTCCAGCTTAGTCTCTGAGAATGGTCGGCTCTTAGTAGCTCCCAGTCTCAATAGCACATTCATTTTGTTCTTCACTGGCTACAGGAAAGAGAGGGATGTTCAGGTTCCGGGGGTTTCTGTACACTGCACTGTCTTAGCAATTACTCACTGCCAGCTTCTATTGATTACCTTTATGCATTTTCAATGAACTTTCCAAAAGCTTAACCTAGGACTAATTAAGCTTCTCATTTCTCCTTCTTGTTCTCTATCCATTTTGCCCTTTAGCAGAAAAGAAATGGTTTACAGATGAACCGGATAATGCCTACCCCAGAAACATTCAAACCAAGCCCATGAGTACCCACATGGCTAACCAGATCAACCAATATAAATCCACAAGCAGCTTGATCCCTCCAATCAGAGAAGTTGAAGATGAATGTTGACTCCCAGGAGACCAGAACTATTTTTTTAAAGCCTGACAAACTTCATAAATGGTGACGTGACTTTTCTTCCTCTTCCATGCCGAATCACTGGTGGAAACACTAGAGTAAGCAAGAATTGCAAGAAAATAAAATAGACAGCTCTTTCTCTTTGCCTTGAATATTGCTTCCATGTACTTTGGAAAAGAAAATGATTTCATTTATAAATGAACATACTAAAATAGTCATGTATAGCTTCTAGCGTTTTAAATTATTTTTATTTATTAGAAAGAAAATATATTTTTTCTTTTCTTTTCTCTTTTTCATTGCCAGATATCTTCCCATATATGTAAAACCAAAATGAATAAGTGGCCAGATTCCTTAATATGTATCTCTTCCCCCTTCCCTCTTTTTCTTTGAGGAGAATGATGGTCACCTCCCCAATTTATAATTAAGGGAAATGGATTACCAAAAGAATTTTAAGGTAGTCAACAATGTACACATATATTTTAGTAAATCAAAAAACAAAAGTCAAAAGAGCAGAGGTGAATATTTGCCTCTCCCTTGAATGGGTGTGTGTGTTGATCTGCATTGACACCAGCTCTTAACAAATCAAACTTACCTTTGCAGCTGAAAGTCAGATCTTTGTAGTTTCAGTTTTCATCTGGCATTTCTTAGCCTTTGTTCATATATTTAAAGGAAAGAGCTTCTTGCAGCTTTTCTGCAGTTGCCAGATCAGGTTTAAGCAGCCAGTTCAAGATACGGGGAAGGGTTATAGGCACACCTAGGATTCGGAAGTTGTGCAGCAAGAGCAGCCTGTTTGTTGTTCTCATGGTGGGACCTCCTCCAAGCTGTTATGCTTCCCATTTCATACTTCTAATTCACCCAAGCAAGTTATGTCACCTGTGGGAGGATCTGGTGAATTCTTTCCCCCACAGAGAGCTATTAGCCTGGAAGTTTGTGAATATCAAAAAACGAGTAGTGTTACCTAACACTGGGATCTAAGAAGTATTCATGCTTAGCACGAAGCATTTGTTTACACATCAATGTCCACTGTCAAGGAGATGACTTTTGCTTAGTTTTTCATTTGTTGGCTTTCCTTGGTTGAATTGCTGGGACAAAACATTCAAACTCGCTAAAAATATTTACAAACACAATGCCAACCGAAAGGAAAGTAAGTCATGTCTTACCATAGACTGTTAGAAAAAGGCCTTTGAAAATTACCAGCAATGAAGTCAAATGTATCAATCACTTTAACCTGTGGTCAAAAGATTTTTCTAGCCATCAGATGCAATTGTGATGTCTCAGATCTGCTGTTGCATGCATGCCCAGTGTATAGTCACTCAACAACTGATTTTGTTCCAGTGACTCAGAAAGTCTTTCAACTTCATAGAGATCAACCTCTGATAAGATCATCAGGGTCTCTGGAGAAGCATGGGCGTGACTGTGATTTTTAATTCCTTGAAAATGTAAAATGTGGACATTTTCCCAATCTAACCAAAATAGCCCCTAAAATCCCATGACATCTCCTCCATTAATGTTTTAGATGACCATGACTCTGTGGTACCTAGTTATGATAGTACAAACCAGACCAGAGCAAAGCAATGCGATCACCATGAAAACATATGTCCACTAAGGACTCCAACTACCAATGTAGGCAAAATGAGCTTCCACCTCTGTCCACTCCCTGCAGAGCCAATGTAGTTGTGCTTCCATCTCGTAGGCATTGTCCTGCAGTGACTTGTCGGACTGTGGTTACTCTGTTGTCACATTTTGTAGAATTAGTTCTATAAAAGTATTGTGAATATAATGTGTGTCCAATTGGATTGTTAACACAAAAATACTTATAATCAATCACTAGTCTACTCAGGCTAAAATGATGTCAGCAGTCTATATTCAGGCTTATAAACATTTCTTGGTTTCCAACAGATCTCACATGTGTTGGTGGGGAGAATCCACTGCCAGGATATTGACAGCATTCCTGAAAGCTAAGACTTCCTTTAACATCATGATTTTGCATTGGGGTTACCTAAGTACATTCATGTCAATCCACGCTCTTCTTTCTTTCCTGGACCACAGTAGGCTCTTCTTCACCCTCATTCCTACTAACCACCTCTGAATTTGTCTTAGTGCTTTGATCTCCTATGGCAACCAGTGGTGTTTAACTAAGTAATCTTCCATTAGACGATTACTCCGCTCCATCCAAGGCAGGAAGCAGAAGTATAACCCCACCCCCACTTCCCACAATAGCTAGAGATTTAAATCTAAACTTTTCTTAACTACAATGGCTACAATGACAGTTTCCTACAGTATGGGACTACCTTAGTTCACCAAGCAGATTTCAAAACCCAAGATAACAAATCCATTTTCTCCTAAGATAGAGCAATAAATGAAAAACAAATCAAGCATGACTCTAAGGTGGTACAAAAAAATGACCTGGTGGTGGCCCTTTGGCAAAAACTCAAGGCCAATCAATTGAAATAGAAATAACATTTGTTCAAAATAATTGGAGGGCTCAAGGCATCTTCCAGAGTTCCCAGTTTGTTTCTATTTGTTGAGGTCTGAGTCCTCTAAAGAGTAAAACCTGTCTTTCCAATCCCTTTCATCGTAGGCCAATGGTGGTGGTCTTTGGAATATTCCACATTAGAAGGCTCTGATCTCCAGTCCCTGTTTTGAGTTTCAGAAAAGCTATCTTGGCAAATTAATGATTCTTGAGTGTATTGGGAATCAGATGGTTTGTAAAACAGAAACTACCCATGTGTGAGTCCACTGTTGCCCTCACCATCTTTCTCATGGTGGCAATGTGCTTTTGTCTAAGCAACTATATTTCAGAATATCCTCTCATGCTATAACAGATAGAACACATTCACTTAAGTTGTTTTATCTTTAAGACTAATTGTGACTAAGTAACCTGGAAGACCAACCTTCCTTCTACAAGTTATACTTTGCTTTTGTTCGTTTGTTTGTTTTTTAAGTGATGGAAGACTTTAATCAAGGAATTAGAGTAGTTTCCGTTGAGTTGAAGTGGAAAGTGAGAAAAATGTATGAAATTAGGGACAATTTGAATGTTAAAACAAAAAGCACCCCAACTGTGCCTGATCTGAAGGTTCAAGAGCATGGTTCAAGAGCATTCAGACACAATTAGCTATTAGCTATGAAAATGTCCTTTAAATCCTCCAAGTTTCAGTGACTTAAATCACTGAGAGTGATTCCTTGAGTTGGCTATAGTCTCTTTCAGACTGACTAAGACAATAGTTACCTTGCCTCAGCCAAGCCCCTGAGACAATCTTTTCCAGAACTGTAATGATAGCTTTTCTGGCTATGTCACCCATTGATGGCTTTCTGAGCTGAACCCAGCATCCTCTTTCTGCTCTGGACATAGAACAGTCAGGTTTGTGCCTGTACTTTTGCATTTGGAAGCTCTTAGGTGTGAGATGCAAAGTTTTCAGATTCATTTCCATCATTGATGAGCTGGTGTGGTTGGTTCTAGGTTTCTTCTTACAACCTTGCTCCCCAGCTTCCCTGCCTCTTGGTGCAGCACAGTTTTGGCTAGTCTCTTCATCTCTATCCCACATCTCTAATAGTATATATAGAGAGAGTCTGGACACCCCTACTCTCCAGATATTATTCCCATTAATGTTCCCCCACATTCACTCACCCTTACTTCTCATTTTCTTTCCAGTTTGACTTGTCTTGCTTTTGTTAACATATTGTCTTTTTCTGCTTACATTAATAAGTGTAATGTTGATCTGTCATTTTCATCATCAAGGAGACCCTTGTTGAAAGAAACATAGAAAGAGGTATAAAAGATCAACGAAAAACAGTATCAGCTGAATGACTGGGAGTCATCTTGACTACCAAGAGATCACACAAATTCATTGAACACTAAGTTCCAGCCCAGATCTGATCATTTTTTAAATTTTTTTTGTATTTTCTGCCTTTGGGAAAGTGGTAAAGTCACTGATACAGTGGCTCTTATTACTAAAGGCTCCATCCATCATTTTTCAAAACTTAGAGGAACTAAGAAATTACTTTGAATTTTCCTACTGTATTCCTTTTTTGACTCTACTGTGCAGCCTGTGTTCATAACAGGTGTTTTCTGTTATAAAACAGAATGATTCCTCACTTAAATCTCATAGTTGCTTGATAAAATGAGGAGACCCTTTGGATTTGTTTTGTTTTGTCTTGTTTTGTTTGTTTGTTTAAGGGACATAGATTTAGAAAAACAGAGTCATTGATTGTCTGAAAAAACAGTGATGAGCAATGGTGACTGTGCCCTTTTGGGATGGAAGCTTTTGATGTTCGGTTATTTCTGGAAGAGGTATAACTGAAATGTAGACTTTCTAGCTGAATATAAAGATTGTTTAAGCCAGGTTTATCCTAACTGGTTATTACCCATGCATTACTAGCTGTTAATATTTCCATGATTACCAGTAAAATAAGGCATAAGAGTGATTTTTAAGGAAAAAATATTAAGAAAGTGACATATGTGGCCAAAGGCCTTTAGTCCTCCAATAGTTAGGAATGCCCCAATATTCCAGTCTCACATGGCTTGATGGAGAAACTATTCCCATTTAAACTCTCTGTTCTAGACCACCCTTTTAAAACTGCTTTGAGCATGAAAATGGACCTGAAATGGGGTAACTCAGGGTGTGCATGAAGGAGTTAGAGAGAAGCGACACTTTGGGAAGCCTTTGAAAGAGGTGGTCCCTAGGATTGGGAGAAAGAGGTTCCCTTGAATTACAAATGGGAAAAATGATAGGAACCCTATCTTGGATGGACTGTGGAGGCCTTCCAATAGGAAATATGTGGTTTGACTGGAGGAACAAGGATCCTGATGGTTTTCCAGTGAGAAGGGGCTTAAGGGACTATAATGCAGATTCCAAGGTGATTT